ACTCAGTTCCCCTCCATCTATATTGGGCACAACGGCTGTGTCTCTAAACTTGGCCAGTATTTTCCCATTTGTTCAGGGAGTTGGTCCTGGGGGGAAGGGCACTAAGACAATAGCCTGCACATTCCAGAAGGAAGAGGAAAAAGAGAAAAAAGAGAAGCAATGATAGTTGATCATCTTGATACACCCCTAATTCTGCCCTATCCTCCTAAAGACCAAAAACTAGAAATCCAAACAGGAAAACCACATCCTTACAAATGGAAGGTCCCACTGGGGAATACGCTGGCCTCCATGCTGGGAATCCCAGAAGAATCAGCAACACAGATAAAGCTGAAGACTCCCTGGAAAACATTTAGACCAGGGGTGGGGAACCTTCCACCTCAAGGCCACATGCCCACTAGGTCCTCAAGTGACTGAATCCAAACTTCACAGAAACACACTTGATTTAGAACAACCCCCTCATTGTACAGATAAGGAAAGAGGCTCAGATAGGAAAAACTTGCCCAACGCTACAATCAGAAAGCAGCAGAGCCCAAGCTCAAGTCCAATGATCTTTTCACTATGCCATGTTTCTCCTACCCTGCTTATTGCTCTACCAACTCTTCTCTTATACTTCCTTACACCATAGCCCTGCCTTAGGCCACAAGGACACCAAACTCTTCCACACCAATCCTCTCCTTCAGATGCCTTTGTCTCTCCTCCTCTCTCACTCTGTTCTTCTTTTCCCAAACCATTTTCTGCTCACGGTATTCTCCCCTTTTCCTGGACCCCCACCAAGCCACTTAGTGCCTATTATTCCAAGCATCCCTCACACAAGGAAGTTATCCTTAATTTTATCAGAAATAACCCATGGATAACATCCTATTCCTTTCCCCCAACCATGTATCTCTCTATAGCACTTGAGGCCAAAAACATACACAAAAAAAGTTTATCTTTCATACTTTGTGTTTAAGGGCTACACGGTTGTTTGTATACTCTCAAAGAAAAAAAAAGACAGTCTCAAAAATGTTTTGTTCAGGACCTATATTACATATGGAAATAAATATTTCCATTTACATATGGAAATAAATACCATTCAAGCCAGAGAATTAGAGACCCCTGAAATCTGCCTGGGAAGGGACCAGTGGTGATTTTTTTTTTGTTTATTTCCTTTCCTTCAGATCAGACCAGGCCAAAGAAAAATAGAAGAAGGTGGTGAAGAGAAATTTAAATATGGTGAAGGAATGAATCTTGCCTGACTTAGCCTTCCTTAATGAGAACTTCTAGGTGAAATGGTTCTTCTGGCAACCCAGTGATTGATTTTATCAGCATGGGTAACCCCTTCCACTGCACAAATAGCAACCCCTCAACACCTCCTCATCTTATGTAATTCTTGACTATGTTTTTCCATAAATGGTTCATGGATAATCCACTCAACATACAGATGGCCTTCCTCTCACTCTTTTAATATCCTGAAGATACCAATGTGCCATTGACTTTATCTGTTCTGCCACTTTAACACAAGTAGTGCATAGAATAATAGCTGCTTTTTCCTCCTTCTGACAAAAGGAACTTGGGAACACAGGTGATAAACATGATGAAGATCCCTACATCTGGCCTGCCCATTAAGGTACTTAATATTCTAAATGAAGTTATACAACCAAACCAATTCCTAGGAAGCATCTGGTACGATGGGTTTGGAGTCAGGAGAGCTATTCATTTAAGGATTCCAGTTCTGCTTTTGAAATCTTTTTTTATTTCCTCTCCCCCACCCCCCGCCAGCTGCTAGTGCCAACCCCCCCCAAAATTACCTCATGTTTCTTTTGTATCTATTTCTATATGCATGTGTTATGCCCCTTAATAGTATGTAAGTTCCTTGAGAGTAGGGACTTCCATTTTTTGTCTCTATTCCCAGGATCCAGCACAGTGACTGACACCTAGTTGGTGCTTAATAAATGTTTGCTACTTGATTAGTAGCTCGGTTAACTGCAGCAAATCACTTAAACCTCTCTGAGTAGCCATTCCCTCATCTGTAAAATGGGGATAATAATATCTTAACTCACAACCTCATGAGGTCATTATATGGAGAAATAAGTAAAGCACTTTGTAAACTGAAAAGCTCCATATAAACATCCAGTTATGATCATTACTATCCGGGGAAATGGGAAACCATAAAAGACCATACCAAATACAGCCAGCAGGTGGGGGAGGAGTTACTCAGTGAAGAACACAAGTCTATAGATATGTATAAAGAGAGATCAGATGAGAATCCACAAGAGAGTTTTCTCAGTCATTGCCAGAAGCAAACACAATGTTGCCCATGTGCACAAAATGCTTTGAACCAAACTAGAAGGGTAGAGAGAGCTGGTACACTGGTAAAATAAAGACACAGGGCAACATTCCTTTAAACCTGAACACATCAGAAGAGTATCAACCAATGCGTGACTTACTCAGATCCTGGCAAAAGAGTCAAAGGAGATTGGAGGAACTGGCCCACAAGGGGGCTGCAAAGCTACCAGAAGTTCCCTATTTTGCTTTAATTGCCTCCTTGATAAAATGCTAGCAAGACCCAAATGATCTTTAAGTTCCTTTGCAGCTCTTATGTTCAATGAAGTCTACAAATTTATGATATTCCCCCCCCAAAAAAAAACTGTCAACCAAGGAGGGAAGGAGAGGAAGAAAAATCTCTGTCCTAGTTCCCATGAAATCTGAACCTCTAGGTTGTATTAAGAAATGATGTTCAGAACAAGAAACACTCTACCACAGCCAGACCATATCTGGGGTACTGTGGTCAGTCCTGGGTGCCACGTTTCATAAAAGACACGGATGAACTGGAAAGTATTTAGAGAAAGGTGGCTCAATACCAATCCATAAGAAAATCCACTGAAGGAAGCAGGGATGTTTAGCCTGGATAAAAGATGGGGAATATGGTAGTTATTTTCAAGTATTTGAAGAACATGTCATGTAGAAGGGTTTCAACTTGTTCTGTTTTGGCCCCACGGGGCAGAACTTGGAGTAACAGGTAGAAATCACAAAGTAGAGTTTATCTCCATATAAGGAAAAAGTGGAATGGGTTGTCTCAAGACAGGGAATTCCTTCTTACTAAAAGTCTTCAAGTAAAATCTCAGTGACCACTCAATGCAGATCTCACAGAGGGGATTCTTGCTCAAATACCAGTTGGACTATATAGTATCTGAGGTCCTTTCTAATGCTGAAATTCTGTGACTCAGTAGCACAGGCTTGGACCAACTTAAGCCATCAGAAATATTCTGAGGAAGACCCACACAAACGACACTGGACAAATTTCCTTCTACAGAATGGAAAGCGAACAAATGTTCTTTGCAGAAAAGGTGCCCTTACAGATGAAACAAAAACTCAGGGGTTCTCACCGACTCCAATCGTAGGCCCTCACAGAGATTCTCTTTTGTTACATGAAGACAGCAGCATAAAATGTCAAGAGTTGGAATAGACTTTGGAGATCATTTAATCAAACTCCTTCATTTTATATATGAGGAAATTTAAGGCCCAGAAAGGCTAGGCAAATGGCTTGCCCAACTAAACACAGTTCAATTCATGGCGGAACGGGGATGAGAAACCAGGTCTCTTGATTCACAGATCACTCTTCTTCTCATTATAGGGCATGGGTATAAGCTTCCCCCCACCCCTCACACTGCCTTCTTAATCCTCCATCCTCCTCATCCCTCTCACATAAGTTATTTCAGTGAAAGTGGGTCAGTTCAACACAGATACTGGCTGCCAAAGCACAGCCACCCCCTTCTAACTTTGCTCTGCCCCGTGACCATGAACTCAGCAGTAACTTTCCCATGTCCCCAGTGATCATCCTGGACCCTGGGCAGCTGATATCCTCTAGCAGACAGGAGGAGACACACCTACCTTGGAGCAATATCATACATTCGCACTGACCTCCACTGGGTTGGGGGAAGGGGTGAGAACTTTGATGAAAGAGAACAGTAGAGATCAAGGTGAGAGATGAGTAAGAGATAAATGTAGGAAAGTTTTCAAATTTGCCTCTCTGGGATTTTTCCTTCTCTTTAAATACATCTCCATTCAGAACGACATAGGCACTACAAAGTGATTCCAGATCTTCCCACCCCACTCTGGCACCCTTGGTTGAAAATTATTTCTTTCCATGGACACTGCTCAGGCTGCCCATACACCACTGCAGTCCCTGGGATTCTTTCTCTCAGTCTGCCAGGTCCTGAGACTCAATGAGAGGAGCTTCCCGCCAGCTGGCTCCACCACCCGAATCCATTCCAAACCCTCAAAAGCAAAACCACACAATCACAGCACCCCCTCCCTCCCACACTCACACACCTTCCACTATTCTCCTTCCTCTGCAATACAAACTCAATACGGGACATATATCAGAGCCAGAAAGACCCACTAACCCAACAATCTGGAGGCACCATTTCAATTCAATCCAACAAATATTTCATTGGATTTGTTTGAAGTTTGCATTTCTAGCTCTCTCCTCCCTTGCCTCCCAAAATACTATCAAAAATAAGCTTTGAAAGCATGACCCTCCCCTCATACCCTCAGGAAAAAACAACTTGCTCATCTTCTCAGGCATCAGTGTTCAATTATGTTCACTAGTTTATAATGATGATATATCTCCCTTTCCCCTTCTGTGCTTCAGAGGCCCCACTCAAGTCCCAATAAGTCTCTTCCCTGGCCACTCACCAGGAGACAAGCCTAAGTATATCTTTTTCCCCCTTTTTGAAAAGAGGACAGAAAACTTCCAAGGGCCAATAAGATCCCATTTCTCCTAGAAGCCAAGTAGAGCTAGACCTGGTTTTGTAAAAAAGTCTCCATTCAAGCACCCATTAAGAGGAAGGAGGGAAGAAAGGGGAGGGCAGTAGAAATGATTAAAAAAAAAAACTTACCCTCATTGTTCAGAGAAAGGAGCAATGCAGCAGAGGAGGGGAGTGGGGAGGGCAACAGCCCGGCCCCGGGTCTGAGACATGAGGGAAAGGCAAAGGAGGAAAGTAGGGGCAGGTACTCACCCAAAATATCAAATTGAACAGGAACATCATATATTTCAAACAGCAGAGGCAGCCTCTGGCCATGTTGCACTTCTTAAATTCTAGAAGGAAGACAAAGGAGAGGTCCAGGTAAAACACCACGTACTTGCTGCCCTTCGGGGCATTGTACTTGTCTGTTTTCACTCCGGCCTCAGCGTGGCTCTGGCCCCGGGTCCGGGAGCCCGTGGTACCATAGAAGGCGCCTGCGGTGAAGCCGCGGCCCAAGGGGCGGCCCGAGGAAGAGGGCTTGGCAAAGTCCGAGTCCTTGCTGTCCAAAGATGGACTCCGGTGGATCGAAGAATCCTCGCTACTCGACTTCTCCATGCTCGCGTTGTCCCCGGGGGGCCGCAGGGGCTGAGGGCATCTCTCCCAGAGTAGAACGTGGTAGGGGTGCTGAACTCTACCGGGCAGGGGGGCTTGGGCAAGGGAGGGGGGCTGCGGGAGAGAACGGGGGGGCAGGCTCCAGGCTGGGGACTCCCCCTTTAGCCCCCTCTTTTCTCGAGGCTGCACACTCCCTCTCCAGGAGGCTTCTCTAGAGCACGCGTCCCTGCATTGCCGCTGGCTTGCTGATGTACCTTCCACCAGGACGCCCAGTTCAACGCGGGCCGGCCCGCTCCCGTGGGGGCTGCGGCTTCAGCCTACACGCGTCCCGCAGCCCCGACAGACTCATGCTTTCCCTTAGTCTCGGGGAATCAATCAGTTCTGCGTAACTTAGCTTCTTTTTCTTTTCTTCCTTTCAATTTTATTTCTTCTTCCAAAGCATTCAATTCTCCTCTCTCCCTTCCTGCCAGTGGGTCCACGCGTGACAGAGGGGCACTGAGACCTCGGCTTCCCTGGGCACCCCGCCCCGCCACGGAACTCGACCACTTTTTTTCTGGCTTTCTCGCCTCCCCCCTCTCCTGTTACTTTGCAGTAACAGCTCCTCAGCCTGTGGCCCAGGCTCTCGCCTGCTACTAGCTCTCTGCCTCGCTCTCTCGCCGGCCAACGTGGTGCTGCTGGAGCTGTGAGCTCAGCAGCAGCTGCAACCTCTGGGTATTCCCTTAGAAATCCCTGACCTAACTATCAAGTCATAAATCGACCACCCCCACCCCCACCCCCACCACCACCATCCCGGGTCCCTGTGGTCCCACCCCCTGCTCTGCATCTGGCCAATCGGCACTGGCCTGTCCCGCGGTGGGGGGTGCCTCTCCCCCAAATGACACAATACCTTTAATAGGATTAGCTTCTGCTCTTTGCCTATACAAGTGCACAGCCGAAAAAATCTCTCTTAAATGTCAAGGGCTCTTTAGCCGTTGATGAACTGGAACTGTATGTAGGATCCCTGTCTCTATAAACATCAGAAAAGACTGGAGGGAGTGAGGTTGAGCTCCAAACAGCTCAGGGGAAGAGTAGGGGACAGCAAGGGTACGGAGGAGAGAACCCTGAGGATGTGTCCGACCTCTGCCGCTGCTTTGCTGCACCTGTGAGGCTTGGAGAAGGCCTCCCAGTTATATTTACAAGTCTGGTGTATGCCCGCACACAACACCCATGGGTCTGAGAGATGACCCTGCGAAAGAAGCAGGAGGTTTGGATACAAGGGAAATGCCTCAGGAATCCAATCTTAAGAACCCATCTGCACACACACACACACTTTTTGACACATGGTCCAACTCACTCCAGCCCCTGGGCGTGCTTGGTCAGGAGGGGAAAGCAGATTTCTAAGATGGCTATCAGCAGGCTCACAAACCTCACTGATAAATAAGGGTCCATCCACTTCCACGCCCAGATAACCAACTGGGCTAGCTGTTATAGTTATTAAAAACCAAACAAACTTGCTCCCCCATAACAGGAAGCCTTTAGTCCCTTCCAGGAGGATCAAGAGCTGAGGTCCCACGGGTCGATGGCCTGAAAAAAATGTGTAAGAAACAAACCCCTTCTTAGAAATTTGGGCTTCAGTCCTGATTCTGACGCTTCTAGCTGAGTTGTCTGTGGGAAAGTCATTTAACTTTGGTAAGATTCAATTTAGTTAATTGCTTCTTTTAAAGATGGGATGAGACCTGTGATTTCATCAGTGCAGGAAATTCCTAGTGTCAAAACCACTCTACCAGTGCAGTTCAGCATCTTCTCTACAATTTACGAGATCACAAACTTAAGTCAACAAGCATTTATTAATGCCTTCTATGTGCCTATGGCAGGTAGGAGGCGAAAATGGATACAGAACCTGGTTTGGAGTCAGGAAGACTCATTTTCCTGAGATCAAATCCAGCCTCAGACACTTACTAGCTATGTGACCCTGGACAAGTCACTTCACCCTGTTTACTTCATCTGTAAAATAGGCTGCAGAAGGAAATGGCAAACCACACTAGTATCTTTGCCAAGAAAACACCAAATGGGGTCACAGAGAGTCAGACTGGCCCAAAATGGCTCAACAACAACAACAAAATATAGCAGGCACTGTGCTAAGCACTAGCTCTTAGCAGGGACCTTGGCGGTCAACCACCTCATTTACTAAAGCTGAGGAAACTGAGGTCCATAATGATAAAATGAATCGTTCAACATCACAAAGGTAGTAGAAGCTAAAATTCAAATCTAGGTCTTTTGACTCCAAATCTCTCCCTAATTTCTAATGCATAGAGTACATTAGTCTTATAAAATTGTCTGAGGGGATGAAAAGTGAAATTACTTGCCCAGGGATCTTCAGCCAGTATGTACGTGTTTTTGAGCAGGTGGAGGGAGTATGGCATGAACCCTAGTTTTCCTAACTACTACAGCCAGCTCCTTCTGTACTCCAAATTGGCATAAGGACAATACCTGCACTAAATTACCTCCACAAAACTGTTGTAAGGATAATGTTTTATCTATAAATCTGAAAGCAATATAGAAATGTTATGATCTTAAAGCCATTAAATATTAGTATTATTTAGTTCTACTAACAGTGGTCAGATGAGAGGAAGTTTGAAATTTCCAGTGGGCTGCTGTTCAATTATTTTTCAGTTGTGTCTGACTCTCTGTGACCTCATTTGGGATTTTCTTGGCAAAGATACCGGAGTGGTTTGCCATTTCCTTCTCTAGTTCATTTTGCAGATGAAGAAACTGAGGAAAACAGGGTGAGGTGATTTGCCCAGGATCACACTGCTAGTAAGCGTCTGAGGCCAGATTTGAACTCATGTAGAAGAGTCTTCCAGGCCTGGTGTTCTATCCATTGCACCACCTAGCTGCCCCCTAGTGGGTCGTGGCCACAAATAAATGCCCATCCCATTAGGAGCTATGTTTCCCATGAAGTGTCAGGCCCCAGGAATTTGTCCTCATAGAAAAGGACAGAGACTTTGAATTCCCAAGGGATGCTGTAAAGAGATGTCACGAAGGCAAAGAGACAGCTAGAAGGAATGTCCCTTGGGAATTTGAAGTACTGGCTCCCTGCCACTCCTAGGACCTTAGAAGCAGGGAGACCCAATTAGGAAGCTATCACAATCATCCAGGCAAGAGATCTGAGTGAGGGTGGTGGCCATATGAGTGGAGAAAAGGTGAAAGATATGCAAAACATCTTGTGGAGATAAAATCAACAGAGCTTGGCAAGCCATCCAATATGGAGTGCAAGGGAGAGGAAAAAGTCAAGGCACAAAATTGGGAGATGAGAGTTTCATGTTTGAGGAATAGCAAGTAGATCATTGTAGCTTAATCACAGCATGAATGGAGGGGGGAAGTAAGGTTTAAAAAGGCTAGAAAGGTAGGAAGCAGCTAGTGAAGAGCTTTAAATGCCACACAGGAGACTGTATACCTGAGCCTAGAGGTAATAGGGAGCCCCTGAAGCTCAGTGAACGGAGGGAACAGCACAATCAGAACTACACTTCTGAAAAATCACCTTGGCAGCTGAGAGGTGGGTGGAATGAAGTGGGGGGTGGACTTAAATCAGAGGGCCTGATTAGAAGGCTACTGCAGTACCCTAGGCAAAGGGCAGTGAGTGCATGAACAAGGGTTGTGGCTATATAAGTAGAAAGAAAGAGGGACATACAAGAGATGTTGAAATGATAGACTGACAAGATTTAGCAATGGATTAAATATGTCAACTGAGTGAGAATGAGGCATCAAGGGTGATACCAAAGTTTTGGCCTGAAATAACTGAGGATGGTGGTACCCTCAGTAGTAACAGAATCAATATGATCAAGGCACTGATATTTTAGTCCTTTTTTCAGCATAATTTAAGATTGCTTTTCTTTTTTTTTTTCCTTCGGAGGTAGTTGGGTTAAATGACTTGCCCAGGGTCACACAGCTAGGGTCTGAGGCTAGATTTGAACTCAGGACCCCCTGACTCCAGGGCTAGTGCTCTATCCCCTGTGCCACCTAGCTGCCTCTCCAAATTACTTTTCAGAATGGTAAGACCATTTCACAGTTTCTCCAAAGGCATTCACTTATAAAGGGAGAATTCTTGACCAAACAAAGGATAGAGAAGATCATAAAAAAGAAAATAGAACTACATAAAATTAGACAGCTTTTGCAAGAAAAAATCAAAGCAGTTATAATAACGGGCACAGTTAACTGAGAAAAAAATCTCTGCATCAAATATCTGATAAAAATTTGTAAATCAAGATTAAAAGGAAATTAAAATAAATATGTAAGAAAAATGAATAAGACATGATCCTTGCCTTCATGGGGTATATAAGATAGCTAGGGGAGAAAGAACACACTTATACACACAAAAGTTAAATAACAATTCAAGGTAGTATATGAGTCACTACTCATTTATTCATTCAATAAATATTTATCAAGTGTTTGTTGTATTGTGAACTATACAAGTGGCTGGAGAAGCTACTGTCCCTACTCTCATGAAGCTTTCAATCTAGTACTAAGTGCTAAAATAAATGGCACATAACGGTAAGAATAATAGGGTATTTAAAAAAAAAAGATGAATGCATTAAGAATTACTATTTGACCTAAGGTTTGAAAGTTGGCCATATTCAAATTATTTTTAAAAAAGAAGGAAAGTCTAATAGGGGAGAGAGTATGAGCACAGTCTTAGGAGTCAAAATGATCATAGGCATGTTTTGATAAACAATAAAGGGAGCAACCTATCTCAAGCAATGAATTCCTATAAGGGAGTAATAAGAGATGAGGTTAGATAAAGAGGGGCCAGATTGCAGAGACCTTTGGATACCACATATCAGAATTAAAGAATCATAGAATATTAGAGCAAGAAATGGACCTTGGAGACTATTTAGTCCCACACCCTTATTTTAGAGATGAGCAAACTGAGGCTCAGATCAGAAAAGTGATTTGCCCAGGATCACAGAGTATTTGTAATAAGTGGCAGAGGCGGCAGGATAATTCATGCCTTGTCCAGGAATGGAGCACATCTGCAGGAATATGTGTTGGACCTTATGTGAGAACAATAGAAGTATGTTCTTAAGCACATCAATAAATCAACATTGATTGAACACCTACACAATGGGAAGCCACTGGAAGTTCTTAAAAAGGGACTGACAAGATAAAATTGATATTTCAGGAACACAAATCTGGCAGGGTTGTCTAAGATGGATTGGAAAGGAGCAAGATGGGGTAACTGTTGCAAGGTACGAAGTGAAGAGAGTGTGGACAGAGTGGTGGTGGTGGCAAGGGGAATAGAAAGATTTTGCCTGCTATTTGGTGCCAGCTAGAC